ATTTTGTGTGATACTTCCCACCTCTTCAATAATTGCTGCCTGTAGCTGCTCTACGGTGTGGATTCTATTTTTGAAAATGTTGTTTTTCATTCGACTAAACAAATAAAAATCTAGAGGTGTTAGATCCGGGCTGCGAGGTGGCCACAAACCTCTGCTAATTATCCGGTTTCCATAAAATTCCTCCAAAAACCGAATGGTATTGTTTGCGGTATGTGCTCTAGCTCGATCTTGTTGGAAATAGCTCATTTGAATCATCATGCATTTGTTCAATAGCTTCTTGTAAAATGACACGATATCTTGCACCTGTTATTGTCTCCCTGTAGAAAATAGGGCCAAGTATTCTTCTTCTTGGAACAGCAATCCAGATACCAATTTTTTGGGGATGTAGACTAATGTAGAGGTGTTTCTATGAATTCGTGAGGGTTTTCTGTTGCCCATGTTCGATAATTCTGGCTATTCACATATCCAGATAAATGTACCCATGCTTCATCAGAAAAGAAGGTTAAATCTAGTAAATCATTGTTATTCATATTCTGATTGAACCATTGGCAATACTGTACCCGTAAGTTATAATCAGGTGGATGTAACTGCTGAACCACTGATATTTTTTAAGGATGCATATGTAAATTTTTGGTAAGTGCCTTATGACAAGTTCCCACTGATAGTCCTGTAAACAAAAAAAAGAATATTGAAGGTCAGAGATTCTTTTTTTTTCATTGTCTCAGGGTTGAAATTTTACAGCAAGATCTTCAAACCCCATGATAAAATGTCTGGAAAGCTTGAATTCTTTCTAATTCGTGATATTCATGGAGTTACATTTGAGGAATATGCCTCGGAATATGCCTACCAACCTGTTTGAACAGATAACTTCGCAATGGATTTCTTAGGACTTCGTTCCACTCGTCTTCGTTCTAATGTCTTCAACAACATCTTCTGTTGAAACAGATGGTCTACCAGTTGACTTTCCCTTGCAGATATGTTTATTTTCGAATCTCAGAACAAGGTTGAGCTTGTGTTGTTTGAAACCATCATAGCTGATATCGACTTCTGGAAAAGCCTCAGAAAACTGCTCAAACTGCAGGGAGTAGGTCCAACTTCCATCAGGATTGCGGGTACCACTGCGGAAGTGTGCCATTAAAATAAAGCCGTCTTGTTGAGGTTTGAAAACCATTTCAACCTCAGATTCTACAATGTTAATAAACCAGATAATCAATAGGACAGAAATAACTCATTTTGCTTACCTCAATATTTATAAATTGTCCCAGAGTCCTGACAAGAACTTTTTTCGACAAATTCGATGGTAAAATGCAAAAGATTCAGAGAAATATTGGAGACTGTTATTAAAATAAACAATAAACCCGTAAGCTGCGCTAATGAATAGGTAATGGTTGTTCAGTACAGGGTTGCCTATCTGAATAATGGAATTACATGACACATTTCATGATAAATTATTTTGCATTTCTTGCACTTAAGTGAGTCCATGATTATCTTCAGAAAATCCTCAGGGAGCAAAGTGTATCGTAGCAATCACAGATTGAACGAATAATTATCATTCCTCGTCGGAGAACAACCAATGCATCTTGACAGGAATTTCCCGGCACTCGGGTGATTACACGCCTACCGACAACACTGGTTTACTGATAGTCCATTGCGACCAACTTGAGAATGACAAATCTTAGCGGCAATTTCAAAATTTGGTCACGTGGGGTACAGTCATTAATGAAGACCCGGTAATTACGTGATCAAGACTGAAACTAAAATTCAATGACGTATCACAAATCTAAATCATCAGATAATTCTTTCTATCATGAATTTTTGTTGGTTAATGAGCACAATCCATGTGAATAGTGATTATATGTCTCCATTTTTTTTTATCAAAATCAATGGTTTGACCAGCCCAGCAGCGTTCGAAGAATCAAATCTATTGCGTCTGTACGACATTGCGTCATGCTTCATTTTTAATTCGTTGTGAGTCGTGCGTCATGCGTATTTGACTTTCTGCCTTGAGAAAACGACTGTCTTATTATGTCGATTCACTTGCTTCAATTGTAAAACGTCTATAATCGAATTATTCTATGAAGTTACCGTTTCAATCGGCCAATTTTCGAGGATTTTGACCCATTGCAGCCGATTGACGCCATCATATTTCATCATTGTGTTGCAGTTTCTGAAAATCTAGACTAGGCATATATTTTAAAAATTCATACGTCGTTCATTGATCTAAGCGGATCGTTCGATGGACAATAGATAACAAAGAATGATTATAATTCTTCCGAGTCTGCAGTCAGAGTGAAACAAAGTGTACCTACTCTCTTGTTTCTGTTTAAACTTTCGAGTCCTTATCGGGTCTTCATCAGGAACTCTATAAAACATTGGAAATTATATGAAATCAATCCTTTTGATTACTGAAATACTTACAGAAATAGAGGTTTTGTTTAACTATACATTGTGATATTGAAATCGCTGCTCAAATCATCAAATCTTATCTCTCATGTTACTGTAATGAGCTTTTGTAAAAAAACGTTTAGCTCGCACTCACAATTCATTATAAAACAACCTCAAACATCGTTCTTCAGAATATTTTCTGGGTCCTAAGAAATATTCATATTATCTAGTGAATATTCTGTGAACATATTTTTAGTGTATATTATAAGGATACTCTCAGCATACTTTTGATAATGAATATTCTCAAGCTCAACCGATAGATAAACTAACTCAACTAACAGGTAGATTCCTGATTCTTTCATTTTATTATTATTTCCTTTGTTCCAGGTTATTCTTATGCAGTGCAGTGCCTTTAAGCCGTAGCACCGTTATATCGAAAGTATTCTCAAATTATCTCAATTCACTTATAAATTATGTAATATGTGACATGATTATTCGATTATTAGAAAATTGCTGGTATGTATAATTTATAACATAGAATATGTAATTTTCCTATACTTTTCATTTTATGTTGCCAGTCCCCTCAATAATATATTATGAAATGTTACTGTACTCCATACAAAATGTTACAATAACTTTGCTAGAATGATTCATTCGCGAACATCACATTCATAATATTGCTGAACATCCGTTTCAGTAGTTGCTGCGACCTTGCAATAAGATTGCGACAATGTCTGATGTAACATCACACATTACATTGAAATACTGCTGCAATATTGTTGAGATAATAGGTACTTTGCTTAGTGGGAGCAAGCATCGATTCAGCCCTAAAATTCTTGTTTGGTGGCAATCACATCGAAAGTGTAATATTCACATAATAACGTTTGACATTATCGTGTCACTACAGTGTTTTACTCATAGACCTATTATCCACTAACCAAACCGATTATTTGAATGTTTCGACACGTGTTTCGCAAACTATATCAGCATGTTCAGGAGAAGATCAAGTTGTGATGAATCAGTGAATCTAGCGGGCCATAGGAAGTTTCGAAGGACAAAATCCGATGATAATTCAATATATTTCTGAAATATCTTTGTGCATATAGCTTGAACTAAACACGATAGATTCTCAATTGCAATGAATCGTTGTATAATTACGATTGAATCACACTCATAGACGTATTCAATACAATATACAGCTCTATTTCATGTGAAACACGCCGGAATTGAAGGAAAGAATGAAAAGATTTCTTTCCTAAAGTCAGACCACCAATTAATAATCAACAATATCTCTTGTTGATTGAATTATAAGGCATTTCATCAAGGAAGAAAGATAACGAAGGAGAATCGAATGATGGATATAGGGTACCTATAAAGAAAAACCGACAGTGTCTGAAGAGATTATACTTGTATCCAACTGCGCCACTGGTAAAGTGTAATTTAGACGTGTCCGGGTTTGTCTCATCCAATAAAGCAAAGATCAGCCAATGTCAAAGATATCAAATGGGCTGGGAGAGAACACATCCATTTGTCAAATGTCGCTTTGGACAAAATCACAACGCTGGAACCTCGACCAGCACTAACATAGTCTATAATTAACTTTCGTAGTATATAGGTATCTTACCTTCGGGCAGTATTCTCGATGGCCATACCGAGAAAAAAGATGGTGATTGCATCACTTGTCTCACTATAATTAAGTTAATTAATGAAAAGTTACGTAAGAATATGTGAGGAATCATAATTGAACTCCATTGTGATTATTGTGTTCATAATTGTGTCCTTTCAGCAGGAATGCGATATGCTTCTTGCACTAATCTTCCATGAGCGCCGTATTGGGAAAAAAATCCCGAAATTGTTTCTTTTCACTTTATAGATACCTACTCATGAAATTGATAAGTTCACAATGCAACCTCAACTTAGGTATATGAGAAAAATTTCATCACTCGAAAAATCACATTGATTAACGATCAACACTTTTATCTGGACGTGAATATTCATCAAATCGGGTCGATTCTGTTCGTGAATAGCAATATTGTTATGAGAAGTTATTGCTATGATAGCAATGTAAACAACCAGATCTTGAAAAGTGCTATTCTGATCGATGATTTTGAACCATGTTACCTGTCAGTGTTAAAGAGATCTTGTTATAAATCTTGTTGAGATGGCAAGATCATTTTTGGGCTTGCTATATAACAACAAGGTGAAAAATGGCTGGAAATCCAATATATTTTCATTTAGACTTTTTCAATGAATTCGAAAATATTGAAAACAGGTGAGTTTGGAATAGAATAGAATGGATAATGGTAACAAATTCGAGATTTGATATGATTAAAAATATAAAATTTACAATAATTCTAGGAAGTTAAAATACACAGTAACTGAACTTTTCTCTTGTGTTTCAGGTAGGTATTGATGAGCTCACAGAAGGAAGATATGTTAGGCAACAAGTAGTGAACCTCATACAAGGGATGTAATGAACTACAATATAATAATTTGTAAATACATAAAAAATTTAATATATATTCTGAGTGCAAAAAAAGGAACAAATCTGATTATCACAATCATATTAACAAATAATCAAATACTAATTTCAAAAATAAAGTTGTTGAAGAACATCAGGGCTTAAAAGAGGTATTTTCCTTGATCAGGGCTGTGGTAATGTTTGAGAGAGCTTCTGCGAGCTGAGAAATTGCAGCAGCCATTTCTTTGACTGCTATAGCCATTTGTTCAGTGCTATGGCTATAAAGCATAGCATAATTCTCCAGCTTTGTGGAAGAACTAATTGTCTTAACTTTTTTTTTCCTCTGTGGAATTGGAATTTTTGGGAAAGTAGCACCTGTAACAAAAATTATTTCTATAAGCAATAATTTCAACTTTTACCTACCTGAATATTTGACAGAATATACAGAGAAGAATTATTTCATAGTATATTCAAATTCAAAGATATAATATCCAAATGTCATTGTACACTACAACTACCTATTAATTATATTATACCTGCTTCATTTTTCTTAGATGTAGCTGTCTCTGGTTGGATAATTGGTATGTCATTTTCAATACTAAGCTCAGGAGACTGACTTCCATTATTAGCTTCCATGAGTATTATTTCTATGTTTTCAACCTCTTCACCATCAGGGTCTACCTCAGGTGGTGCTTCAGGACATCCAATTATATGAATCCATCCAAAAATTGCCATGAGCCGATTTTCAAGATCACCTAAGTCCGTGCAAATATATCCACCACCACCTGTCTGCCTGATAGAATTATAATTCAAGCGAGCTTTCTTCTTAGTTTTTGATTTCCATTCATATAAGTACTGAAAAAAGATAAATTTGATAACTAAGTAGGTACATGAGTACAAATGATACCTATATAAAAATGTGCAATATTGTACTGAATTGTATAGGTACTTACGGTTTTCCATTGTTTTTTTTCTTTTCGGGCCCCATTTTCAACAGTATTCAGTAATACTGTTAATTCTTCCCACTTATCATCAAGCTCACTGGGATTCAAGGGATGCGTTTTTCCAGTTACTAGTACTCTATTTTGTTCCAAAAAGTTCACAATCATTTCCATCTGTGCTTTATTAGTTTTTTTATTCCTCACAGACATATTTCATTAAAACAGTAGGACAAAATACAAAAGTAGAAAACATCGACAGAAAAATGAAAGTAAGATTAACTTCTTCTTTTTCACACAAAAGTCATGAAATACAGTGTTGTCAGCTCTGAATTCACCGATTATTGAAGTTCTTGATAACAATATTGCTGGAAGGAAATTTATAACCAACCTTGTTATAACAGTACGAACAGAATACGTAATGCTATAACCATATTGTTATGAGTTAGGAGGATAGCAATATGACTTGAACAGCAAGGTTTATAGCAATGTGCGAACAGAATAGACCCGATTGTCTGATAGTATATAGAAACAATGTATTATTCATGCAGATCTGATTCGAAATCATCATGTCTTTGAATGGTGAAATAAACCCCAAGAATGTATCCACAAAATGGAGCGTTGTTGCAAATTGGTATGTACTGATTCATTCAAAATGTATCGTTTTATACGATATTGTTATATGCTCGTTCAATGGCATGTGAAATTAAATTCATGTGATCAATATCCTATAGGACAATCAACGTGCAGCTTTTTAGGAGGAGTATATGCGATCAAACAAGCATTGTTGATAGATTCCTCCCCCTCATGTCCTGTGTGTCCTGTTTATAACTTCTCAGTTTTCTTTGATTCTTAGTGCTTTGAGTTTTTTTATAATTCATTGGTTTTTTGTATCTCGTATCTTTCTTGAAAAGTGTTTGATTTGATTATAATAGTTAGGATAATGGTAAATAATTTCAGATTTTATTATTATACCTGATAGCAGATACATCATCTGGATTTATATCATTATTTTTCATCAATATGTCATTATGCATGATATATAGATAGATAGATTCTTTATTATAACAAAAAATACGAACAGAAAGAAAGAATAAGGAAATGAGGCAAAGTTGATGATATCACGAAGTGCTACTCGTTTCTTGAAAATGCTCTGGTTTTTAGTATATTCCATATATAGTTGGAGATATTTTTGCATTTAAGTGGAGTAAGATTGTCGATGAAGTCAATCAACGAGTGGCTATTCGGGAGATGATCACTGTTTGGTATTCTGAAACTATTGTAAATCGGACAATCGAACAAAATATGCTGCAACGTTTCTGCAGAATTCAAATTACAAATTGAACATATCTCATTGGGATTTATTTTATATGAGCTTCCATTATAGGTGAATTTAATGAAATATTTATAACATATTCTTAACTGCGATATTGTGCGAATGATCTGAATGGGCAAATGGAAATGTAGATAGTTAGCCTCAGCTTTTGTGACAGTTAGCTGTTTATAAAATAGCAGAAATTCGGATCTCTGCAGGAGGGCGCGATCTTGTCCGTGGAGTTTACTTTAATATTTAGATAATAAATAAGTTTTATGGGTTCTCAAAGAGTGAGGGTTCATTTCAATCAGAAACTCTGAGGCGTCGATAAAATCAAAATGTTCCTTCACTTGAAGTGCCCCGTTGTACTTTGGGTTGATATTCCTTAGTGACATTTGCCTCAGAAAACACAATTCCGGAAGGCGACGGATGTCCATTTCAAGAATTGTGATGATCCAATTCAGGGTGAATTTGAAGATATTATATAGAAACTTAACTTTTCCAGTTTCAAGCCTGACGATATAATCTGGTAAACTAAGTGGAAGTAGCAAGAGCCTTTTGAAGAAGTTCACCTGTATTCTTTCAAGGATGTCATGATATTTTAAACCCCATACCGGAATACAACTCGTCATCACACCCAAAATTGTTGCTTCATAAAGTTTAATTCTGCCTTGCCATGAATTAATTTTGGTCTCTGCCATTATGGGCAGTAATGCACCAATTGCTCGTTTTGCTTTATTGGCTGATGATACTGCCATCTCACGAAAACATGAGGATGAGGTGAAAGTCACTGCCAGATAGACGTACTTATTTGTTATAGATATTTTCACATTTCAAAATAGATCTGGATTGACTTTCTACTCATATGAACCTAGTTATGTATGAACCATTTCAATCCGTATTGTGAGATTAAGGTATTTTTCACAATCTGTATTTTCCACTGATATCTCTATTTATGTCTCCAACAAATATTTATGTACCGGTTAACAGAAATTTTGGGAGTACTGGTTCAGTTTGGTGATTAACGTATTCTTAGGAGGAGCTGAAATGTAATCTTATCGCTGATAGCTCGCAATTTTATTTGTATTTAATTCAAAAATATATTTGTCGTTGATATACACCATCACTCCATCATTCTGATTTATATTGCCCTGATTATAATCAAGCTTATATAGTGGAATCCTGTTCAAGTTTCCATTTGTAACGTGAGAAGTTCATGTTAATACGATACAGTAAAAAAATGTGTGAACTTTAATAAATGTGGCTTTCAGTTATGTGAATCATCGAAAATAAAAATTGTTAGATCGTTGACAGTTATGTCTCTAGCAGATGATGTATTCTTTAGTAAAGACAGTTCGAAAATTGAGATACCTGAAAATCTTGTTACTATCGATTTCTATTTTCTGCTTGTAGATTTAGAGCGTTTTCTCAAATTGTGCAGGTACAACGGTGCTTGAGACAGTTGGGTTGCTCTGGTCTGATTCTTTGATTTGGGCGTGTTCATCCTGTTGATGTGATTCGAGATTCCTCTTGGGATGATTTGTTTATTGGGGCTTGGTGAGAGGTATTTTCTTCTACGCAGTTTTTGCTACATCAGTGCTTCGTCTGACTTCACTTGTGTTCATCTAGGTACCGTGTATCTTTTGTTTCACACGAAGACTTGGTTTCCTTTGATAAACCTATGACTTTTCATTGGTGTTTTTTCTTGCTTCCTTCAGGTAGTTCCTCATCAGGATTTTGTTCTCCTCACGTTGTATCTCCGTTGAATCATGTATGATTTCAATATTAAATTTCTTCCACATTGCCACTTTGGATAATTAGCCCTTTTTTTCATGTATACGACACAGATTCAATCTTGGGTGGAGTTAGGTTGGATGTTTGAGTTATGAGTAGTTCATATCTGATTCAACAATGTCTACTTCTAGCAGACTTTTGATTTCCTGACAAAAGAATTTGATCGACCTTTATTCAATTGAGAACTTCTACGATCATCGGGTTAGTTCTTCTGCTATTTCAACTCACTATCTCTATTTCGTTTTCTTGCTGCTCGATTCCGATTCCTAACTCATTGATTCTATTTTTCAGAAGTTGCTTATCAATAGAAAGCCATGTTTTACTTGCTTCAATTGCATTTATCAACTGATTTCTGCTCTTCACAATTTCATCGGGTATTCGTTTTCGAGTTAGTTCATGTTCACTTGTCATCATAAACAGAATCAGATTGAATTCTTTTCTCTCTAGGAGCGCACGAAACATACTTCCTATAATACATTTATATGAATAAAGCATTCGAGACCTTACTGAAATTATTGTATATAGTATACCTATAGGGTTAATATTTCCTGTGTGCAACTCGTTTTTGCTATCGTTATTATTTTGACCAGAAAATCATACAGTCACGACAGTTTCTGATTCTATAGTGTCATCATGTATATTAATTTTTGATCATAATTCATTGTTTTTCACAAATGTGCTCAAGAAAGTTATTTGAATATTTCTCTGGAGTAGTTTATCATTTATGGTATTCTCACTGAAGCTAACAGCTCACATAACTCATCATCATATTTGATCGCCGTAGGAAGATAACGACCCATCACTATTCTATAGATACTTTCACAGGAGATGTCAGCCAGGCAAAATCGACAAGCCCAGTCAGCACATCCTATGTCGTTAACCTTGAGATATGTTGAACAACTCGCTACCAAAACTGTTTAGAACGGCAAAGCTTTTTAACTATTTGTCAAAGGAAGTATTCTCAAGAACTTATAACCTCTGAAATTTCAGAACAAAATTCCAATGCCTACATCTTCTCACCCTATTCTTCCTAGGTAAGAACGATGTTCTTCGAACCTAATAGGGATTGCCTCTCGTGCGCTCCAGAAAATGAAAAATGCATGTCTCTGATATTTATGGTCTATATATATGGACGACTGGAGTTTTTTCGATAGATCATTGACTGCCTTAGTTTTTATGTGTTAGTGAGACGACATTCGTGTATAATATAAAGATGGTATATTATTATGATAAGTGAAGGTCGAAGAGACGGTTTTATTAACTAAATTTGAAGTCGCTTATTTGAGGATAACAAAGTACCGTTCAACTGTGAGAATACATCTTCAAGGAATTACAAATAATTTTTTCAATTTCATCTTTAAACAACCAAATATAAAATGTAACATTTCATCAATGCGAAATTGTATAACTTTTAATCGATGCCTGGTTCTGATGATGTATGGTTTTGTTTCCAATCCATTATTCAATACTTATACTAACCTTATATAATTCTGCTTTTCAGGAAATGCTTTCCAACCCTTTCGTGCCCTTCAAGATATAGAACAAAAAATCGATTATCAAACTCCTACCACACCACGAAATGAAAACATTCACCATTGTGAAAGGAACGAAGCAGATTGAGGAAATTGAAGAGCTCCAGACAGAAGGAATTGGAGTACGAACTATATCAATTCAGATCATGAAATCGTCACAGAATCCTAGTTCAGAATTAATGAAGACTTCCCATCAATTATCAGTTGGAACTTATTTTGTACATTTACTACTGTTTCTTGTTACGAGTAGTACCTAATCCACAGAATCAGGTTGTTACTACTCAATTCACATCATCTGGGATAGTTGAAGATGACACCAAACACTAGTGCTCATCAAATAGGTGTGAAGTTACAACAAAATATGCAGGACTTCCAAGAAATCAGTCGATATTCTGGATGGTGTTAGTTCATGGTATTCCAGTATTACCTACTGAAAGTGTATAGGACTCTAATTCTATCCACATTTTTCTGCGTGCGTTTGTAGTCCTGATATTCATTACGGAAAATTACAATAAATAATTCCCAAAATTTTTTGTCGAAACTCAACTTGTGCGGGGTTAGGAAGAGCGGGA